AGGTGGGTGAGGTGATAGATTGGAAAAGGTGCACCTTTTAGGTGCACCTAAAAAGACAATTTTTGAAAAGTTTAAGGTGAGGTGGGTGAGGTGATATTCCGAAAAAGGGTGCACCTTTAGGTGCACCTAAAAGACGGATTTTGGAAGTTTTTAGGTGAGGTGGGTGAAATTTAGGTGATAATTGGTCAAGTGTGGGCACGGATTTTTAAGGGGCTGCTCCTGACTTCGATTCCTCTGAAATTACTCGCAAATTTCTTCCGGGTAATCCGCAGACTTTTCTACGGGTTACTCGCGCGGAGACCCGTGCGAGTAGATTGAGTAAATGGGTAAAGGATAATCGCGAGCCACTCGCGAAAGTTTCTAGAAAGAAGAAAAATTCGCTCGTCTGGTTGCCCCGAGAAAAAGGGTTGCGGGTAATCGCGAGCTACTCGGCGGAAAGGAGAAAACTAGTAGCGCGGGTAGCCCGTGAAAAAACTCTCCGCGCGAGTACCCCGTTGAAGAATCTGCGGGTTGCCCAGTAAAAAATGCCGGGTGTTACCGAAAGGACTCGAAATCAACAGCCAAGTTTGAATTTCAAACTTTAAAACAACTCACCGAGAAAAAGGTGCACCTAAAATCAAAACATTCCTAGGTGAGGTGAGGTGAGGTGATGATCACAAAAGGTGCACCTTTAGGTGCACCTAGAAAAGGCCCAAATCTCAAAAGTTTAGGTGAGGTGGGTGAGGTGATGATTTCAAAAAAGGTGCACCTTTTAGGTGCACCTAAAACTTAAATCTGAAAATTTTTAGGTGAGGTGGGTGAGGTGACAATTTGCACCTCACCTAAATTGAACAAGGTGCACCTTTAGGTGAGGTGATTTTGAACCCTGGCATACAGGCCTGGCAGAACACCTTTCTTTCCCGTTCGCAATGAAGTCCCCATCACCCTAAAGTGGCATAAATTAGGATGAATTCGATATTATTGTTAGCAATTCAGCATAACAAGCTTGTTTTCATTTCTAAATTTTTATCAACAGCGGCGCTGCTCTCGCAGCTGTTTAATCTTATCTAGCGAGACACGATTCCTCCATAAAAGTAACGAACGACCTCTCCAACAGCATCAAACGAAAACAATAAACATGAAGCTTTTTAACTTTTTCCTCGCTGTCGCCATGGCTCAATCTACCCTCTCCCCAAGAGGCAAGATCAAGGATGAAGAGAAAGGCCCCCGACAGTGCGGAAAAGTCAAGCTCGCTGACAACCCTCTCGCCAACGGTTTGACTATCGAGTGCAAATCTCGAAACGGCAAGGCGAAGAACCCCCATCGAACCAAGCGATGCAAGGGTAAGTCAATTTATTATCTACTCGAATTTCATTTTACGCTTTTAGCTCGATGTGTTGATTCTAAGATAGGGTCGGCCAAAAAATCGATCTCGTGTTTCAATTACGAATTATACCTTGTTAGAAAGAGGAGAACGAGACGATTCGAATGGTACTAACCATTTGTCTGTGCGAGTTGGAAATTTTTTAGAATTTTTTGAAAATCGCGATTTTCGTCACTTAAAACGTGAATCTTGGACGTTTCTAAATATCGAATTTTTGGCTACGCCAAATATCAAGCCTTGATTGGCAAGTGATTGCCGACTTCGGTCAAGTTTGGCCACTTATTGCCGGAGGACCTTCCGGAAGACCCTTACTGGAAGACAAACTGCTGGAGGACCAATAATAGAAAAAATTAAATTGCTTTGGATGGCCACATACTGCCACATTTGACCAATTTCGGTCACTTTCTGCCGGAGGACCTCCGGAGGACCCCTTACTAGAAGACCAACTGGTTGAAGACCAATATCAAAAAAATATATAAATAGCCTTGCTTGGCCGAAAACTGCCACATTAAACCACTTTCGTTCACTATCTGCCGTAAACCTTCCGAGGGAACCCGGGTGAAAGACCAACTCCTGGATGACTTGAGGCGAATAAGCCCGTCTCTAAAATTCAGTAAGGTACAGTGGGTTGCGCAGATAGTGCACCCCTAAAGAGCGGGCAAAGGGAGCACCAGTCACGCAATCACTCTGAGAAAGTCTAGAAATAAACAGTTCAAAAAGTGCGGGCGAAGAGTGCACCAACGGCTCAATCTCGAATCATCAAAACTCGAAGCGGACATCGGCCCTCTCTTGAATTCAGTAAAGTAAGGCGCGAAAACGACCCGACGGGGAGGCGAGCCTCGTCTCTTGAATTAAGTCAGATACGGAACAAAGCCGACCAAAAGGGAAGGCAAGCCCCGTCTCCTTAATTCAGTCAGGTAAGGGGCCAAGCCGACCCGAAGGGGAGGCCAGCCCCGTTTCTTGGATTCAGTTAGGTAAGGGGCCAAGCCGACCCGGAGGGAGGCAAGCCCCGTCTCCTTAATTCAGTCAGGTAAGGGGCCAAGCCGACCCGAAGGAGAGGCCAGCCCCGTTTCTTGGAGGTAGGTAAGGAACCAAGCCGACCCGAAGGGGAGGCCAGCCCCGTCTTGGATTCAGTTAGGTAAGGGGCCAAGCCGACCCGGAGGGGAGGCCGGCCCCTGCTTCTTGGATTCAGGTAAGGGGCCAAGCCGACCCGGAGAGGAGGCAAGCCCCGTCTCCTTAATTCAATCAGGTAAGGGGCCAAGCCGACCCGAGGGGAGGCTAGCCCCGTTTATTTTCTACAGTTAGGTAAGGGGCTAAGCCGACCGGGAGGGGAGGCAAGCCCCGTCTCCTTAATTCAGTCAGGTAAGGGGCCAAGCCGACCCGAAGGAGAGGCCAGCCCCGTTTCTTGATTTAGGTAGGTAAGGAACCAAGCCGACCCGAAGGGGAGGCCAGCCCCGTTTCTTGGATTCAGTTAGGTAAGGGGCCAAGCCGACCCGGAGGGAGGCCGGCCCCGTTTCTTGATTCAGGTAGGTAAGGGGCCAAGCCGACCCGGAGGGAGGCAAGCCCCGTCTCCTTAATTCAATCAGGTAAGGGGCCAAGCCGACCCGAAGGAGAGGCCAGCCCCGTTCCTTTGATTCAGTTAGGTAAGGGGCCAAGCCAACCCGGAGAGGAGGCCGGCCCCGTTTCTTGGATTCAGGGAGGTAAGGAGCCAAGCCGACCCGAAGGGGAGGCCAGCCCGTTTCTTGGATTCAGTTAGGTAAGGGGCCAAGCCGACCCGGAGGGGAGGCCAGCCCCGTTTCTTGGATTCAGGTAAGTAAGGGCCAAGCCCCGTTTCTTGGATTCAGGTAGGTAGGGGCCAAGCCGACCCGGAGGCCTAACCGTATCCAATTAGTGAAGCCTTCTCTTGTCATTGTTAGCATTTGCTACGGCCTCTGGGTGAATGGTTAGGAATAAGTGATGGCCGAACGCTTCTTTTACGAGTTTATTCTATTTTAATGATAATCTAGTGCGAGTTAAACTGTTTTACGCTACTTTTAGTCAAATAATATGAAGTTTAGCTGGTCTAAGCTTGCATCTAGGATAGTAAAACGGTCCAAACTCAAACTTATGATTATTATTTCTCCAAATTTGAGTCTTTTTCAACCGCCAACCGAAATTCGCAATTCGGGCGCGCCATCCTCGGTTTTATTGGCGTGCCCCCAGTGAGAAACATTAGAGGACTCTTAATACTTTGAGAATTTTTCAAAAAGACATTTTGTGCATCTTGAACTTTGTTAATGACTGTATGCAATTTCAGAAGTCATTGACTAAGCCTTTCTAATACAAACACTGACTTACAGACAATAGGTATCAGTTGAAAGACTTCTGATACTTTGAGGATTATTCAAATAGACATTTTGGGCATCTTAAGCCCTGTTCATGACTGAATGCAATTTTCGGAGTCATTGACTAAGCCTCTCTATTACAGACACTGACTTACAGATGATAGGTATCAGTTAGAGGACATCTGATACTTTGAGGATTATGCAAAAGACATTTTGGGCATCGTTAGCCCTGTTTATGACTGTATGCAATTTCGGAAGTCATTGACTAAGCCTTTCTAATACAAACACTGACTTACAGACAATAGGTATCAGTTGAAAGACTTCTGATACTTTGAGGATTATTCAAATAGACATTTTGGGCATCTTTAGCCCTGTTTATGACTGTATGCAATTTTCGGAGTCATTGACTAAGCCTCTCTATTACAGACACTGACTTACAGATGATAGGTATCAGTTAGAGGACATCTGATACTTTGAGGATTATGCAAAAGACATTTTGGGCATCGTTAGCCCTGTTTATGACTGTATGCAATTTCGGAAGTCATTGACTAAGCCTTTCTTATACAGACACTGACTAACAGATGATAGGTATCAGTTAGAGGACATCTGATACTTTGAGGATTATGCAAAAGACATTTTGGGCATCTTTAGCCCTGTTTATGACTGTATGCAATTTCGGAAGTCATTGACTGAGCCTATCTAATACAGACACTGACTTACAGATGATAGGTATCAGTTAGAGGACTTCTGATACTTTGACGATTATCCAAAAGACATTTTGGGCATCTTTAGCCCTGTTAATGAATGTATGCAATTTTCGGAGTCATTGACTAAGCGTTTCTAATACAGACATTACCTTACAGATCATAGGTATCAGTAGCAGGACTTCTGATGATGTTAGCATAATTCAAAAAGACATTTTGTGTAATTTGAACGACTAGAAACTACATTCATAGTGCTGAAGGTCATTCAAGACCTCTTAATGATACAGATAGAGACCAACAGATCCTCTGATAATAGACTCTCATGAATATCACTCATAATATCCACACAATACTCAGTTAATAATTTCTTATCATCGTTCAAACATATAGATAAGAATTTGAGCCTTTTTTGTCCTCTTATAAGACTTTTTTCTTCATTTTTAAGTTCTCGTAAATATCCAGTAGTTTTATTTAAAAATTATTAAAAAAAATTCCCCAACTCATATAAGCATTCGGAAAGAGCAAAGTTATTCCTTAGTGTTTAATCTAACTTATGAGCAAAAATTTGGGATTGAAACATCTTTTTATTGATTTATGAATGAATGAATACCTGAGTTAACCATATATAAGGGTAATTGGCACAAAACACCCTTCCATAAAAATGGTATATGAGTACTCAATCTCTTTTCTGTTAACTACCTGTATAATTTGAACCCTTCTCTATCATATTCTTCCACCAAATATATCATTTGCCTTGAATATATAGTGAATTTAATTTTTAAGCAAGTATGTCAAATTCAAGTCCCAATTTTTGGAAAAAATGCCCTTGAATGAGACCTGAACATCGGATCTCAGCAATTTTTGGTTTATAAAGGTTTTGAGCACCGCGAATCCACTGAAACTGGTTTCAAAAGAATTGGAGATCAAAAAATTTTTTTGGCCGACCCTATTCTAAGAGAAACAACAACACTCCTAAGAAGTTCTTCTGTGTTGACAACAAGTGGATGAACAAGAAGGGTACCCAGGAGCTCAACGTCAACAACCTCGGTTGCAAGTAAATCAATGAAAAGCCCCAAAAATGAGCATGCTGTGGTGCAAAACCCAATATCATCATTTATTCTCTGGCTTACTTTCTCCCTATTGTCATAAACCAATGGTAATCATTTGACAAGATGTGCGTTTTGACCATCTGATTACGCTGGTTTCACAATCACACATTTCTGTTAATTTGAAAAATAAATAAAAATCGAAATCAACGATTATGCGACGTACCATTCATCATTAATATTTTCTGAGGGCTTGATCACCAGTGGCTCGCCAATGCTGACGGGTAGTTGGCCCTTCACCTTCGCAGAGAGTCCAAATGAAGCGATGTGGGTTGGAACAACAACCTTCAATGAATCAATTATGAGAGCGAGTTTTCAAGCACAAACCTTTCCTTTGAGAACAGCAGCATCTACCTCTAAGGGCCTGAATACTCCCCATCCACATAATTCTTTGAACGAAGCTTTCGTGATTGGCTTCTTGTCTAAAATCAAAGTTACTACAGGATATTTGAAGCTACGGAACATACAATTCAAAACTTCATACGACAACAAATTGACTACGATAATATTTGCCTTCAGAAAGGCGAGAATGATTGACTCTGGATTGTTCGGCCGGTCTGTCGTACGCGTCGGAAAGGGAGAGGCACTTTTTAGGAGGAGCTTGTTTGGCATCGCGGAGACTTTGAGAACGGGAGAGAGGAGCACGGCGCTGAGGAAGAAGTCCTATCGGTTTACTGAACTTGTTGTCAGAATAAACATACAAGAAGCAGCTTACTTCGACCGAAGAGAAACAAGCGACTCCATCGAACTTGTGTAATCATCGCGCGTTATTTCGGAGAGATCCATGTCCGAGAAATCGTCGATTGTTAAGTCCCGAGTAAGCCTAAAGTTGGTGTGAGATCCCGAATCAAGCGAGCTTTCTTACTTGTTAACATCATAGCAAAAACTCGCCGGCCGTGGCGAAGACGCCGGTTTCGGCACCATTCTTAAAGCAATAAATCAAAGAATCTTTAAATTTAAATTAAATAGAATTACTGTCATCGAGTAACGAGCAGAAACGCTGAAGAAATCAAGCAGAAGAGTGTTCACAATGATAGTTGAAATCGCTGAAAACTCAAAATATACAAATTTGTTTGACGAGCTAGGACTCCTAGCCTAGGAGTTGAAAGGCAGAGTCTCAGCCTTTTCATAATCACTTGGCGAGCTAGAGTAACTGCTCGGCAATTTCTTGCTTTCGCTTTTCTCTTCATTTAGCGGGAGTGGAATGACGATGAGGATCATTGCGGCGAACGATAATCCAATTCCAAGAAGTTGCTGCGTGCTGAACGTGTTCTAAAATAATTTTATTAGTTTACCGGCGCGGCTTTAAATTGCAAGAGTCAGTACCCCCAGAGGAATCGGTCGATAACTGCATTAGCGGGAACTGGGAGACTGTAGCCGATGGCGATTAGGAGGGGAAAGGTCACAGACACGCCATAATTGACAAGCCAATTGAAGAAGAGTCCACATGTCGACTGAATATAGACGTTATCTTCTTCGTTCCATTATCTCTCATCAATTCTCTTACCGAGGCAATAAGAAAAGTCCAAGTTTCTGTGTCCTTTGGAAACTTTTCTATGTCGGTTATAAACACGTAACAGACGGCTGGGAAGGAAATAAGAACAGAAAACAGTCCAATTAGTGTCAGGAAAAGGGAGACTTGGCCGCTTGAAATTGTTCCAAGGAGCTTTTTAAAAGTAATTTTGTACGCAGCGGCACCAAATGCTGCGAAAAGTACTGGAATGAAGAAATTGATCTGATCGGCGAATCCGACACATGTATTTTCTTGAAAAATGTCGATGGAACTAAAATTTCTTCGGATCTCACCTGTGACCGTTGCATTAGTTCTACTCTCTGCTTCAGGCTCGTCACAATTAGAAGTAAGCGTAAGACACAAAACGCCTCCAAAAGCGAACAAGGAAGCTAGTAATTGACGCACATTCGAGGCGACACCTTCATTCTTCACTCCCTGAAAATTTAATTTTTATTCTGCATAAATTCCTTTTTCAAACATTTCCCTAGGGACCTCAGAGGAAAATTGCCATTTTCGGAAAAGTTCAATCTTTTGATCTTTGATGAAAACATTATTTATTATTTATCTTTATTCAGAAGACTGAAGTAAATAATGAAAGCATCCTCTTTCGCGTACGACAGAATTAATCCGCAGGCTCCCCAGTTCTGTACTTACGAGTAATAAAAGAGAAAGAAGATATACAAACATAATTTCGGATGCCATAATAGCCGAGACGGTGGTATTGCTGAGATTGATAAGGGACCGCGCATAGAGGTAGTTGGTGACGAGATAGATAAATGTCAGAGGAAGAACCTTCGTGAGAATAGGCTTCAAAGAACATACTCGCACTCCAGGGCCAAATAACGAGAACGGAGATGAGAGGCCAAATGTCAACGGTTGTGACTTGAATTTGTTTTGAAGAACGACTATTGTTGAGTTGATAAGTTTAAATGCTAATTGCGTGCTTTATTACCTGATAATGCGTACCCAGGGAAACACAAAATAAGGAAGAGCGTTGAAAACGCTGTGAAAAATACAGGACTGAAGGTGTAGCCAACAAACTTCTTCATTAATTGAGCCGCAGAAACATTGGCGACCATGATACTTTCACAAAGGTATTGAAAAATATTCGTCGTTGAAATTCTATTTTCTTCCTTGATTTCAAACCTTTCCTAAAAACGAGGACAATCCCGACAATCAATTGATGACTTCTTCCCATTTCTCAATCTTTCTCTCGCTCTTAAAAAGAATAAGTTCAACCTCACGGGCGGACAAAACACATCCTCAAATCGGTGCATATGCTCCAGAGTTGAAAAACGTCCCAAAAGGCTTATCCTACGAATAATTCATCTCGAATGTATAAATAAGTAAAATCCCTGCTTGCCCAGCTGCATTTATCGGATTCTATTTTTGGTGTGGGAAGGATTTGTGTGGCTACTGCGCGTCGGTATCGATTAGCAAGGGTACATTATACAAAAAGAGATAGTCAATAATTACTTACTCAGCAAAGGTTTCGAAGTTATCCTAAGAATCGAAATTAAATATTCTCTCACTAAATAAATAGAAACTCGCTTTATTAGACTTGACACTGAGACATCTATCTAATTACCTCTGACCATAAAAAGAATTCTCCTTTATAATTTCAACTTGAAAACAAACGTCTCTGTAGAAAAAGTAACAATTTGTAGAGAGGAAAGGTAACTGCACGAATAGTCTCTGGGGGAAAAGGATTTAATTTGCCGTGGTGGGGAGTTATTGCTCAAACTGTGTCCTGCGCGGCGGCGACATGAAAAGCCAAACTGACCACTTTTCAATAAATAAACTGTCGAGGGATACGGGCTAGTATTTTTTATTCAGGTTCAAAAAAGAATTCAATACTGTGTGTCTGGGATAAAATCAATTTATGCAGACTCGAAACGACAAGTTTCTCGATAATAAAATCTTTTGATTGTTTATCGGGTAAACAAAGACTGTCTGCATATATTTTGCCTCTGCCACTTTGCATTTTTGAAAACACACACAAAATGCAGTATTCAGAAGAACATGTCAACTCAAATTAATAGCAGCAAGATTTATTGCACATCGTAAAGGGGTAAAAATGCTAGAGAGATAGAGGAACGGAAACGTACTGTTTCCGCGGGTTGAATAAATAAAGGTAACAGTGAATAAAAACAGAAAATAGATGATCTCTACGGGATTTTGGCTTTTTCTACATTTGTAACAACAGGTTCTTGTCTACCAGTCAGTGTGGTATTCCCAAGTTCGAGGATTCGGAGGTGAAATGTACACTAATCTCGTTTAAATAACTATGATCCGAAAATATCCTACCTCTTTTGTTCTTATAAAGCGCAGTGACCACCCCGTAGTAACCCATTCGAGGAACACCGGCCTTGAAGTCCTGCATAACGCTAATTTTTCTGGCAATATTTTCAAATTCTTTCTTTGTTTCGTAAATCAATTTTACTTCTGGAACTTGTAGCATCTCAAAATCTGAATCTTCGTTAGCGGAGCCCATCTAACTTTCTTTACCTGAAACTGAGGCAACGGGGACATTTTCAACTTTTCGTAAGAACTGCTCATCATACTGTCTTCGTTTGATGGAATTCAAATCGAATTGATTCCAATTGAAGTCGCCATGGAACTCGTGGATTTTCCCCAAGTACTGGTCAAAGAACTGACCGTTCGAGACACCAACTTTTCCAAACGTCGAAGTTCGTGGTACTTCTGGGTGAATGCACTGACGGCCTTTTCGTTGCTCGACATTTCTAACCCAGTCGTCCCAGAATGCAGTTGGCCAGGTTGACGCGAACTCTTCATCCCAAATCTATAAAATTAGTCAAAATGAAATTCAAACGATATACGTACCTTTTGGAGAGCATCCAACCGAGACCTCCAAAAAGTCGGTTCTATAGACTAGAGCTGGATTTTGCTCAATTTGATCGTCTTTTCCATTATCATTCCATGTCGAAAGGCAGAAGAGGTTTTCATTGGGGTCATTTAGCAACGGAGAGAATTTTCGGAAGAAATCGATAAAATCGTGAGAAACTAGAAGATCATCCTCGACGATGATTGTCCCAAGAGCGCCAGGAAACTTTTTGAAGATATTTGAAAGAGCGAATTTGTAGTGGCGGCTTAAAACAGACTTGATTAGGGTAGAAAACGAAAACCAAATAGTACCTCAATTTGAAGTAGCCTTGCATGTTTCTTTTTACATCAGGAAAGTCGGACAAATCCGGCTGGTATATTGCACTGATGTGGTCATTTTCACGCGTGTATCTTTCGATGACTTCTTTTGTGCCCGCGTGGCCGCAGTCTTGCGATATAATAATCGGATGTGATGAAGCTTCAAGGTGTTTTCTTGCAATTAGAATTGAATCAAGTGCTCTGTTGACTGTTACACGATTGCATGCTTTATCGAGGGTCGATCATTAACCTCTAGCTAATATGCTAGTAATAGAATTAAAGAAAGAGATCCCTTAAATCGTCAAGGAAATGATCGGCCCTTCCTATGACGAGGATCGGGATAAGAACATCATCTTTCTTACTGTCCTCTTTGAGATCCGTTCTTGGAGGCCGAGCATGTCTATTAGCTTTTTCTTCAGCAAAAACCTTCAGTTTGTCATAAATTCCAGACACTTGACCTTTGATAAGACTATTCCGTTCATTAAGTTCTTCAATTTTTGATTCCAGATCCGAGAGAGAACTTTGGAAGAGGCTTGAGTGGAAGCGATTTCGATCATCAAAAAGTTCTGAATGTTTTCGTTGAGAAAACGACTCATGTAGATGAATTTTTACCAGAAAAGAGCGTAAAATTTGTGATAATGGCCACAACAAAAAGGCATCCAAGCCATCGGGCTAGCGAGCGATCCATCTGAAACTACGTACTCATTCTAAAAAGCGTATTTGGAGACCGAAATTGAAAAAGTATCCATGACATGTATTTTTCCATTGAACTTGAATTCGGTGTAAGAGATGAAGAAATGATTAGAAAGATAAATAGAGTCCCGCTAAAACTAAAAACGGATGGTTAAAAATAAAGGTCGTGTTAATTGAAGGCTGCAACGAGTAGTTTTTGAATTTCGTTGCTCCAATAGAAGTTATTCGTCTTTTTTGTTCCCGGAGTCTTTCGCCTTTCAAAGATTTACATCTATTCGACGGAAAATAAACTAGTTCGGCAATGAAAATCATTCCTGAAGCTCTTCACAAACTCGATCGTACTCTCGGGTGAGTCCCTCTGCCTGAGACTTCATGGCTTCAATTTCTTTCTAAATGATAAATTAAGAAGCAGTTTGGAGACTTATTTCTTTACGTCTTTTTGGTTCAGTTCTTTATTGGCTTCCCCGAGCTCTTTTTGGGCAGACGCCAGTTTCTTCTCCATTTCCTTGACCTTATCTTTGAGCTCTTGCTCGACCTCGTCAGCACCTATCAACGGAATGAGTAAAATGCACTAATTCCTTGGCCCACCTTTCTCTTCCTTCTCTTTATTCTGGTCAAGAAGAAGCTCCGCGGTTCGAGAGGCAGATTCCGCCTGAGATTTTGCAGCTGAGGCCTCGGCCTTAGCAGTTGCTTTGTCCTTCAGTAATGACGCCAATCGTTGAATAACAATCCACAGAAAGAGTGAGAATCCACTTTGAATTCATCTTATTATCAGCCAAATTTAAAATAACTCCACCTGATGTACAGATTTCGCTGGGAGCGGAATTTCCACATAAGAATATGGTTCAAAGTGTCTGGATTAACAGTCGCTTCTGCTTTTGCCTGCTCTTCCCGTTCTATGTATTTTTGCATCTCTCGCCAGGCATCGACGCAGAAAAGACCAAGGATGGAGGCAAGCATGTAGAAAAGGGTCGATCTACAGCTTCAGTTATCAACAGAAAACCCAAAAACAAACCCATTGCTGGAGATTTTCTTCGCGATTCCCGATTTGAAGAGAGAGCTCCACCACTTTGAAGAAATCGGCCGCAAGCAGAGCAAAAGCGTTATTCCCAGCTCGACATAAAGAATTGCAGCCACAAATTGCCACTGAAACGACATTCTTGAAAGAAACACAACTTGAAAATTGATTTTAACGAAGTTTATTTTGAATTTTCAGTAATCAGTAGAACCCTCAAAAGTTTTATTTTCATGCGCTTTGCAGTCCGCGTTTCTTGATTTGAAATTCAAGATATTGTTCATTGACTTTCGTCGACAGGCGCCTATCGAATAAATATGCGCTGTGATGATGAGACCGAAGACTATCGATAGAATTGTCCAGCCAAATTTGCGATTTCTACGCCTTGAAAAGAGCGACGAGCATTTTCAATGCAACTTGGTTTGACTACATTCGGTGGGGAGGCTCTATCTTTGGCGGTGCTGTGAACTCTCGAAATCTTGAATCAGCGTATTCAACCTCAGGAATCGGTCTGTCTCTATGCGGCTGAAGACCTGAGGGAACCTGCGATGCGTCGAACATTTCGTCAATTTTCGATAAAAGTGGGGACTAAACTGAGAAGGAGTCTGAGCCAATGCAAATTTAAATAAGTGCTTATCTATATTCAACACTATTTTCACCACCCTAAATCCTTCTGTTGGAATCCTGCATATTAAAGAGTCACATAATGCGGGCGCGTTTTCAAACAGAAATTTATTTTTGAAAATATGGAAAGAGCAAACACACAAAATAGGAAGAAATAAGCCAGAAGACGGTGAGTGGTCGAGTATCGACTCGAGTCACTGTGCGACAGTACGGGCTTTTAGGTTCAATCTGATAGAAGAGCTACCGTGAGCCGTAGGCTGGGCCCTAAACGCTGGCATTTCCTATTCCAGTGAGAACAGCCAGCGATCGTTGTAGGTCCGGATTCTATCGCGCATCAACGCAGCTTAGAAATGAAAAAGTGAATGAGGCGCTTGATGATTGCTTGATAGAACCCGAGCGCACGAAGAAAGCTCGCTGTAGAATCTCACTGACATTGAAAATGTCCAGGTATTTGTCTTACTGAAGGAACAATGCATTGGACACAACAGCAAGGACTAATGAGTAAAATAATAAAAGGACAGGAAGGGCGGAGCAACCTTTGGCGCAAGGCAAGGAGTCAATGCGGATAGACAGAGAGTAATCTTGCTTGAAGAATGAAAAAATTTGGGCCCTAAGATATATTTTTGCTGTTTTTTAGATATATAGACTCGCGCGACCGAGTGAGAACTTTTGAAAGCTTATTAGATTTTAAGCGCGCTGGAAGTAGGAAACAGTTTAATAATAAAATCGAAATAAAAATCATGAGAAAAAAGAAGGGAGGATCGCGAAATGGCGTCGAATCAAATGCGCTAGCTTGCCTGTAGCTTGGGAGTACAGAAAACGATGTCTCAGTTTTTGGATTCAGTCGGATTTTCTTTTTCATTCAGAGAGGAGAGAGAGTAAATCAGTGGATAGTATAGAACATCTATGTGAAGGAAGTTGCGTTGCGGGTTTTAGAAGAATACTGAATTCACAGAAATAGTGCCAATTATGAAGTAATATTAAATAAAAAAGGTTGATCAGTGACTCGACTGACGAGAAGAAAAGTTTGCTAGGGTAGTTGCTTTGAAAGATGAAAGTACTGAAATAGGAAAACTTTGGTGTATATAAATATCAAAGAATAATATGTGGAAAAATGAAGCTAGGAAAAAAGCGATTGTGGGGAATGCCCCCCAGAAGAACCAAGTTCAATGTTGATTGGTTTTGATCTTGAAGATCACTTTCCAGGGATGTTGCTTTTCTCGGAAAAGCGCAATCTCGTGAAGGGATTGATGCAAAAATTAGGATCTGGGCAAAGCCGAGCATATATTTTGTTTAAATAGAGTCGTGAAGGAGGTTCTCCGGGCACTGTACTGTACTGTAATTGCGAGGTCCGCTAGAGAGCAGCAGCAAAACTTTGTTTTTGGAACTTTTTTGAGTAGTGAGTAGGATGAGAAAAGATTTGGGTAATTTTCTAGGCGGGAGGAGGTTCGCTACAAAACGAGTAGTGCCGCGGAGGAAATGCTAAGATTATAAGGTTATTTTTAGTAAAAATGTTTTCAGACTTGTTTGGTTGATTTTTCGTGAAGAAGAAATTTTTATGGGGCATTTTTGAAAGGCATATATCGATTCATTATTGTTTCATTTTCATTTTTTTGGATGAGCTGACCGGTCGGGCCCGGTTTGTTTCGTGTTTTCTGTGAGTTTGAACTGAGAGTAATTAGAATTTTAAAGGGAAAAATCAATGAAATGTTGTCTTGAAAGCCCTCGGATGGATCATTTTTTGAGCGTCAGGAATTTTGAATTCCGCTCGGGAAAGGTGTGTCACGTGGGTGAAGCCACGGCAGAACGGAACTTGAAAGTAGCTAATAAGAGCACCTTTAGTTGAAGATAATACGTAGTAGGCAAATTATGATTTTTTGGTTTTTTGTTTTTGTAGATTTTTGTGTTTTCGAAGTTTTTAGATATTGATAAAATATATTGAAATTTCAGGAACCACACCAAACTATACACAAAGGCGGTTTGTAACGGCTTGCTTACCGATAAAGCAAGAAAAGGGGAAAAATGAACTTTCACGCGGCTTGGGAACCGGGTGGTTATGTTGAAGCAATCTGAAGGTAAATGGGAAATTGTAAAGACGAGAAAAATTATGGAAACTGCACCTATATATATTTGTATATTATTAGGCCTGAATAAACTCCGAGTGTAGGTACCAGAGTCTAGGATATACAGCGTAGAGTGATTTTATGCATTTTGTCCAAAAATCTGATAGTCGGAAAAATTAGATTTTTGGTTGAGGTTGAGACATATATAGACTATGGGTATTGGCAATGTTTAAATTCTTTTTGGTTTAGCTTGGGCCGCGCATTTGATTCGAAGCTATTTCTCACGAAGAGCCACTAGTGGCGCTATAAAGACGAATAAAGATGGTTGTTGAAAAGATTAGGTAGTATCAATAATAATATAATAATAATAGTTATAAGATAAAGAACTAAATGAATGACTTTAAATGGAGAAAGTATGAGCTCGAGGGGAGGGGAAGTCTGGAGCACATGCTGAACTTTTCAGTATGTCAGGGTACACCTTTAGTTTGATATCTAGATACTGGTGAAGTTCATGAAGTTGTGCTTTTCGAGGAATCAACAAATTGTCTTCATTAAAGCAGTCTCAACGCCATTAAATAATTGACGGAATTTATAGGATAATTATTTGATGATCCATTCCTTG